ACCATGAGAAGACACAGCGAGAAGGTGTCTACAAGCCAAAGAGAGAGGCCTCGGAAGAAACCAAACCTGCTGACGCCTTGATCTTGGACTTCTAGACTCTAGAACATTAAGAAAATAAATTTCTGTTGTTTAAGCCACTCAGTCTGTGGCATGCACATTGCCTTTTGGCTATGGATAGAGTTACATACTTGAGTTTGTTCCCTATTATTAGGGGATGTCTTTGTCACCAGGGGGTGAGGCACTCATGAGGAGGTAGGAAACGATGTCTGCATTTCTCTAGAATTGTACTGACTGTGGAGGCAGCAGCTAGGAGAAAGAGCCACATCAGACTCTGGGCTTGTCAGCACCTCCTCAACGTGATATATTTTCACGTTTTGCTCAGCACAAGCTTGACTTTAACAATGAACTCAGAAAGAGGGGGAAATGATAATAAATCACAAACAATAAAAACCAACAGAGATTTCTTCTGACACCGCCACAGTAGCTCTTCAACCTGCTGGCCTGTCAAAGTGTGCTAACTGAAAGCGTTTAGACAGAAGATGCTGAATCTAGCTGTGCCCTAGAGACAAGAGGCACTGGAGCCTTTCAGAGGCCCCAGCATCTTCATTGGCAAGAGTCATGACTGCTGCACTGTCAAGAGGGGAGTTTTTAGGCAGGGGGTAGGGAGTGAGTGGGTATGGGAACAGGACAGAGCGGAGCTATGGTGGCCAGGCAGGGCAGCGTAGGATAGCAATAAGACCAGGCTTCGCCTGGCGCACAGTTCTGCCCAGGGCTGGTGGAGAGGTGAGCGAGAGTCTGGAGAGAGCCACTGGGGTCTCGTCCATGGGAAAGGCATCTTTAATAATTAACAAATGAGAAAAGGCAAGAAGTCAGTAACGTGACCCTTAGCATTTTGAAACTATGAGCAAATCACCATGCCTCAAGAGTCTGCAGCCACGCTACAGGCTCCCCAGCCAAGCAAGGCTGAGAAGGCTACGAAAACACAAGAAACTAGTGTAACCACATGAAACTTACAACCAAGTCAATCTAAGACACATCTGATGAGAGTCATGATTGAGCACTGGATGTACTGAAGGCACAAATGGTAAACGGTTTTTATAAATTACTGAAATTAGCAGCAACCCAGAGCCAAACAAAATTTTAGTTTTTCTCTTCTCACTTTGCTAATATTCCAGTACCTATAACCAACACAATGTTGAGTTTTCTTTTTTCCCAATATCTACTGAAAATCACACACATGCTCTCATGTGTAAAAAGACAAAGATGCTTGGTCCAAGAATACTTTTTTTACCCCGACCTTCATGTCCTTCCACAGTTCAAGATACATGGAATATTTTTATTTTAATGCAAATAAATGCCATATTGAGTTCCTTGGAGGCAGGGGGGTGGTGTAGGGAAAAGAGGATAGTTTAATCCCTGAGTTTCAATCCCTGCTCTGCTCTTTATCAGCTGCATGCTCTTAGACACCTTATTCAATCTTTCTGAGCCTTGAGTCACCTAAGTGAAGATGTTAAATAGCCAGCAGGAGAGGTGGGGAAGGACTGGCCAGTGAAGTGGAAGGAAATCAAGGAGAGTGTGACACATAGAAGCAAGGGAAGAAAGTGCTTTTAGTAGGAGGGAGTGGTCACCCATGTCAAAGCTGCTGCAAGGGTGGTAGGAGAAGTTCCCGTTGCCTCTGGCAACATGGACACTGTATCAAGACACAAACTAAGACTTCTAAATTGTCTTGGTCCCTCATTCAAGACCATGGGGTACCTTGAAAGGAAAAAAAAAGATATCATCTTCGATCACTGTATTTTTTTAAGAGATTTCTTTCCCAAGGTCTTATTTGCGTATTAAAATAAAACAAAATCTGAGAACAAATTTTTACAAATTCTTCCTTTCATTTTCAGTAATTTCTAGGTTCTCTGTGCCCATCTAAGGGAGAATTCTAAGAGATGAGAGTAAACTAAACCCAGACTATATAATTCGGGGCAGGTTCAGAAACATTTCTTCCTCATTGTAAGTGTATCTGATAACAATCTTTTCCATACTGATGTGCAATGAGTCTTTCAAATGGAATTATTTCATGGCTAGCCTAAATTTAGGCAAACATAATTTCTGAATACTAAGAAAAACAAATGCCATAATAAGGCTTCTAGCACAAGGGCCTGAAAATAGTTTTTCTATTATATTTAGAACACCATATACTATTTCTATTATAATTTCTAATAATATTCTTTCTCCCAGCTCCACACACAAAGGAAAAGCTCTTGGCCATCAGAAGCTGGGTTGATCACAGCTCTGCAGAGTCCAGAGATAAGGTTCTCCTCATGTGTGTACTGATTTCCCATGCCCCTACCCCACGGCAGGACTATGGTCATGCAGAACTGGAGGCATCAAAGGGACCTGAGAATGGAGAAACTGAGTCTTGAGAGGTATTGGGATTGGTACAGTTATACAGCTCACTCATCAGCATGCTCCTGCGTCAGGCACCTTAAAACAAACCTTTCTGACTCTCATCTGCTTCCCCTCCTAGCACAACTTCTCTCACCAAGTCCACACTCACCGTCTCTGCTTCCTGACCTCCCTCCCCCTCACTCTTCTACCCACTTCAATATGGCTGCCTTCTCCACCACTCAGGAATAAACGCATGCATGTCGAGGTCATGACATCTGTCACGTGGTCCAACCCAAAGGTCACTTCTCTCCTTCCCTTTTACACACCCCTCAGCAGCACCCAACACCCCACTCCCACCGCCTTGACTCACTTTTTTTCCTGGCTTCCATGACCCCTAGTATCTGGGTTTTCTCTACATTGATTTCCCTAGCTCCTCTGCTGGCTCCTCATCTTCCTCTCAACCTCTTCTCTCACTTTCCTCTCTCCCTGGTGATTTCAATGTGCCCAGAATTTTAAGTATTTATAGGCCAAATGTTCCAATCTCTCCAATGAGCTCCTGACTTGTAGACCCCACTGAGTTCTTAATATTGAAATCTATTTGGCATCTCAAACTAAATGCATGGAAAACTGGAATCTTTATTTTTCCCTCCAAAGTCTGCTCTTCTCAAAGTCTTTGTTCTCTCACCCAATGGCATCACCATCTAAGCAGCTGCTCAAGTCAAAAGCCTAGAAGTCATTCTGGACACTCTCATTTCCCTCTTCTCCACATTCAGTCAACCAAAGACCTGCCATTTCCTCCGCCAAAACATGTCTCAAATAGGTCTGCTTCTTGCGTCTGTCACTGTGCCACCACCAGGACTTCTTGCACGGACTACTGCAACGTTCTAACCCTTCTCCTTGCTTTCCATCTGATCTCTAGTCCATCCCACAGTGGCCAGAGAAGCACTGAACACAAGACAGATCATGATCCTTCCCTGCTGAAGGCCTAGGAGCGGCTTCCATTGCACTTGGAGTAAAGCTCTCTGACCTGGCTCCTGCCTGCCTCTCCCCGCCCTTAAGCCACACTGCCCTCCTTTCTGTCCCCAGAGCACCAGCACACCAAGCCCCTCCTGCCTCAGGAACTTCGTGCTCCTCAGAGAGGCATTCCTCAGTCTCCTTACTATAAATCACTGCATGCCCTTTGAGCCACTTCTCACCACCTGTAACTAAGCTATGCACGCAACAGGGTCCTCACTAAGTGGAAGCCCCGTGAGAGCAGGGACCCTGTCCATGTTGGTCATGAGTTTAGCCATCCCACTGGCTGAGTGAAGAGATGTGCGAACAGTGGCGTGGGGTGGAGAATGCAGGGCTCCTGGCTCTGGCTCTCCTAAACAATGGATGAGTCAGTGCAGTTAGCTGCAAGCAGGGGACTTCTCCGTGGGAAGAGCAGCCACACCCCATGCTTCAGTGCCACGTAAAAGCACTAGCCAGTCTCCCTGGAGTCAGGCTGAGCTCAGCATTTCCCTCAATGGGCAGTCACTGCGGAGTGGGGGTGCTTATTTAAAAACAAACAACAACAACAGAACTGGTCCAGGCACGCTTCTACCCAGGAGGTGGATTCACCTTCAGGGCTGCCCTGTAAAATGGGGGCGAGGGGCCGGCCTGGAGGTGCAAGCGGTTAAGTGCGCGCGCTCTGCCGCGGTAGCCCGGGGCTTGCCGGTTCGGATCCCGGGCGCGCACTGACGCACCGCTTGTCAAGCCATGCTGTGGCGGCGTCCCATATAAAATGGAGGAAGATGGGCACAGATGTTAGCCCAGGGCCGTCTTCCTCAGCAAAATGAGGAGGATTGGCAGATGTTAGCTCAGGGCCAATCTTCCTCACACACACACACACACACAAAAGTAAAGTGGGGGCATTCCTGGATAGCCACCCCCCACCCACCCCGTCTGACTGCAGATTCCAAACACTTGGCCCTAGTCAAGAGGGGGCAGGATGAAAGCTTCTGTTGTCATAGCAACCACAGTGCTCCTGGGGCCTAGGCTCCAGGTTTCAGATAAACAACTATTTAGAGAAGTGAAGAAAACAAGCAAAGAAAAATGGTAAGAAGCAGTCCTACAAGTGCTGCAAGACACACTGAAAACCAAATGCAGGAGCTGGGAGTAGAATCCTCCCATGGCACAGGAGTGGCCTCCTGCTGGGATGTATCTGGAACAAAAGGCCCCATTGACACACACATCTGTTACTACTAAACACTTAAGAATCAATATTTTCCTAAAGGTTTTTTTCTTTTGGCTTTAAAGGGTTACTGTCTGCCAGGCTACCAAACCCCAACCTTCTCCAAGTTCGCAGTCACCACATAAATTGACTATTAGAACTTCAAACGAAGAATTTGGTCCCGGAAATAGCCCAGTGCTAGTTTTTTCCTGAATGGAGACACCAGGAAAATGTCAGAAGGCAAATTCAAACCCACACTGGGAAAGACTCACAACATAACCATCACATCCCTGGGAGGATGAGTAACTTAGCCCCACCGAATCTAAAAGGGAACACAGCAGATTGAATAGATGGCCCGGAAATGCCTGGAAAGAGTCGAGGAGCAGGACGGAGAGGAGGAGAAGGCAAAGGATCAGATGTGCTTTACCTCAACACCTGCATCTCCTCAGGGGAGTTCCGTACTTCGTCCTGGAGGCGATGCCAGCGCAGGCAAGCCCTCAGCTCCTGCTGCTCCTGGGCCTTGTGAGGGGCCAGCTGCTTGGGCGACAGACACAGAAAAACACGTGCACAAAACACAGTCACTGTTGTCCTCGTGCAGAGTCAGAGCTGCTCAATGGAGCGGCTGGCTTTGTTTCAGCGGGGAGGGCTCAGACGGCCTCCCTGCTGCGCCTTAAGCCCCATCAGAAAAGTATCAGAGGGCCAAAGGGGCCTCTTAGGTCCTCAAGTGAAGAACCAGCTGCTCAATCTCGTGCCCCTGGTCCCAGAACCTCCCCACCCCATCCCCCTGGTCTGGAGAGAGCAGGCTTCCCTAGAGAACCATTTCCACTCTGATTCCACCCAGCCCTTTTCCTGCTTTGTCTTTCTGCACAGGGTGGGGAACGTCTCCTCCATTTACCTCCTATTTTTCCCAGCCCTCAGTTTTGTTAAGGGCTGTTTACAGTGGAGCCTGCTAATGCAACCCAGATGATTCTGTTTGCACATAACCAGAAACAGTGTACTGCCTGGACTCACTCTGGGGGAGGGGGAAGGCCACCACACTCTACCCTGCTGGTCAGAATCGGCTGCTGTCATTCTATGTGCTCGCTAGGCCCCACGGCTATAATCTCCCACGGCTATAATCTCCGTAAGGGAGGGCAGCAGAACTTCCACTGGGGAGGGAAATGTCAGTATCCATAGGCATTTCTGGAAATTATAGGTCCTAATAGGTCATTCAACAGATATTTACTGAGTGTCTGTTAGGCCTGGGGACTTATGGACACAGACCCTACCCCGAGGTGGCCAGGGGTGGGGGAGTCCATGTAAGAGGACTAACCATCAGAGTGCACTGATAGAAGAGGTTAAGGAAGAACCCAGATGTCCCCTGCCAACCAACGGGGTCAGAAGGCTTTCCTACGGAGGTATGGGGCTTGAGCTGGTCCCCAGGGAAAGCAGGAGTCAGCCAGGGGAGCAGGAATTTCAGGAAGAGGGAAAGCATGTGCAAGGCTCGTGGGGCCTGGAAAGAGCATAAGGTGTTTAGAGAACATGAAGGATGCGCTCGGGCAAGGAGCAGGCCACCAACCGGGGAGGGACAGAGGTACCGAGAAGCCAGCAGAGGCCAGATGATCAATAGACTTTGTGTGCCCTGCTGTTATGGACTGAATTGTGTCCCCACCAAATTCATATGTTGAAACCCTAACCCCAAATGTGACTGTATTGGAGATGGGACCTTTAAGGAGGTAATTAAGGTTAAATGAAGTCATAAGGATGGGGTCCTAATCTAACAGGACTGCTCTCCTTATAAGAAGGGGATGAGGGGCCAGCCAGGTGGCGCAAGCAGTTAAGTGCGCGCACTCCGCTGTGGCGGCCTGGGGTTCACTGGTTTGGATCCCCCTGGGGGCGCGCACCGACACACTGCTTGTCGAGCCATGCTGTGGCGGCATCCCATATAAAGTGGGGGAAAATGGGCACGGATGTTAGCCCAGGGCCAGTCTTCCTCAGCAAAAAAAGAGGAAGATTGGCATCCAATGTTAGCTCAGGGCTGATCTTCCTCACAAAAAAAAAAAAAGAAGGGGATGAGACACCAGAGATCACTCTCTCCACGTGTGCACAAAGGAAAGGCCATGTGAGGACACAGTGAGAAGGTGGCCATCATCAAGCCAGCGAGGAGAGGTCTCACCAGAAACCAAGCCTGTCAGCACCTTGATCTTGGACTTCCAGCCTCTAGAACTGTGAGAAAACAAGTGTCTGTTGTTTAAGCTTCCCAGTCTGTGGGATTTTATTATGGCAGCCTGAGCTGACTAAGACACCTGTGAAGGAGTTTAGACTTTATCCAGGTTGATGACAAGTTATATGATTCAATCTTGCAACTAACTCAATTCACTTCTCCCTACGGATGCCACTCTGAGCAGAATGCCGGTTTCTACTCCTTGTTCAATGATTTCCCACTCCCCTACTTTGCAGTGCTTGTTAATGCTTGGTGCTGCAGAGCGCAGTCTCCCGGGCAGCAAAGTGACCAATGTCCCTTCATGCCCTCTTCACTAGTGGAGCCCGCTGGTGACTAGGAGAGTCCTGCGAGGCCGCCCACCCTTCCCTGCCCTGAAGAGTGTTCCTCTCTTGCTTGGAATGTCTCCTGCAGGCCCTTGTTGGGGACCAGCAGCAGCTCAGTCTCACTCACCCTTCGAAGAAGGGGTCAGAGTGATGGATGTGCTCTGGAAATGTTTCCAAAATTTGTGCTGGTTCTAGAATGGCCACTTTGTCCCAGGGGCGTTCAGGTGTTCACATATTGAAGAGTTACTGCATGCACCTTGAAGAATGATGAGCCAGGTTGTCCCCAACGCCAGGTTAGGGGAAAAGGAGAGACAGAGCAACCTCAGCTCCTACTTTCCCTTTGAGTCCCGAACAGAAGTCACCTCATCCAAAGACTTTCTGGATCTGCTCAGACCTGGCCTCTCCCACCTTTGAACTCACACAATATTTGGCATTTCCCTCTCTTTTCTCACTCATTTTCTTTTTCCTTCCACTGTGTGCTTTTCTTATCTTCACAATAGACCATGACCTCTTTCAGAGCAGGGCTGTGTTGTACTCATCCTTTTATCCCTAAAGATCTAGCACAGAATGGACACATGGCAGATGTGCAGCTCCTGAGATGCAGCCAGGCCAGCTTCATGCCTCTCTGAGTGGAGATGGATGGCTTCAGGGCAGTTAGAGGCAGGGTTCAAGCAAAGAGACTCAGGAGTGACCCCCTGCAAGGACAGGCAGGGGGAAGGGTAAAGGAGAACTCTTCAGATGCAGGAGATAAAGGACAGAGAAATTGTCACCAAATGCCTGAAATACACTCACGATTACTAAGAATAGCATAAATCTCATTGTCTCAGGACAGAAGCACCCCAGGAAAGGGATGGTGACAGAGGCACATATTATACCTTTTTAACCCTTGCTGAATGCCTGCTACGTGTCAGGCACTGTGCTAAGTTCATTCACTCTGCAAGGTTAAGCATTCTTATACCTATTTTACAAATGAGAAAACTGAGGCTCAGGGAAGATACATAACCTACCCACACTCACACAGCTACTGAACAGCAGAGCTGGGATTCTAAGCCTGGTCTCCAAACCCAGCTGCTTTTCCCGAATCTGCCATGTGGCATCTATTCCCGGATCTCTGTGTAGCGGGGGACACAGATGTGCACACTGCTAGCTCTACAGCCAAGGTGTGAAGGGGATGGGAGGAGGAGTAAAACACAGCTCCATTCTGAAAGAGGTCATGGTCTGTTTGTGAAGATAGAAGGAAGAAGGAAAAAGTGAGGAAAAAAGAGATATAAGTACCAAATACTCTGGTAGTTCAAAATTTCTAGAAGAGTAGTATTGAATTGTGAATGGAATGATCAGCCTGGGATATCCAGAGAAAGTGACCTTGAGCTGGTTAGTGAAAAATAAATAGAATTTCAACAGGCAGAAGAAACTGGAACAAAATCATACAGGTATACGCAAACTTGGGAATTTCAGACAATGTTAAATAGTCCAGTCTGTAAGGGGTGGGAGTGGTAGGGAAGAGAAGTGACCAAATATTAGGAACCAGAAAATAAGCAGAAAGCAGTTTAGTTGCCATATCCTCATTAGAACTGGTGGCCAGTTCTTTAAAGTAGAAGTTGTAAACTGGGAGCATGTTGACCAGGTCTGGCCTCTGGGTATATTAGGTTTGTATAATATTTTTTAAATTAGTAAATTTCACATAAAAATCCAGATTTATAACTTCCTTTAAAAAACTAGAAGTTCAGGCTGTATTGAGCCCTCCCTTCAACACGACAACAATTGGTCAGAGCTGAGGAACAACTACCAGTTTGCCACAGTCCTCACCATTCCCTAATCTATAACACCAACTGCTTCATTCTTCATTACTTGCCAACAGACATCTGAGATTGTGACTCCTGATTTAACTTTTAATCTCATTATTAAAAAGGCAAAACAAAACACAGTTAATATCACCACAACCATAACCACAAAGGAGTGCTCGAGTATGCCACAGCATGACCTTCTCTTCAAGTCTGTGCTCAAATGTCCCCTTATCAGAGAGGCCTTCTATTAGTGCCTTCTAAAACAGCACTTCCCCAGCACCCTCTCTTGGCTTCATTTTCTTCACAGCACACGTCACCACCTGACCTGTTATGGATATGTTTGTTTTTCTGTCTATTCTCTCTCCTACTGCTAGATCATGAACCCCACGGGGAGCAGGGATTTTCCTCTCTCCTTTATACAGCTCTCTCCTGCAAACGGAACAGTTGCCTGGTGCATAATTAGCACTCAGAGATAACTGTTCAATGAACAAATGACTATGACTAGAATTTGACTCTAGGGAGTGGAAATGCTTGAAACCACATTTAACCTACCTGCTGGGCTCTGGCCCAGAATACATCTTCCAAGTGAGTGGCGAACCCTTCACTCAGCCACTCCTCCGTCCAATCACGGGCCCCAATAGCTAGGCCAAACCAGGCGTGAGCAATTTCATGGCAGAGACGGGTCCCACAGAGATGGCTCATTCCTGTCAGGGTGCTCTGAGAGAGGAAGATGATGTGTGGGCTGTGGATAATGGGGGAAAAAATACACAGTCTTGTTAGAGCCTGTCCTCGTGGCTGCCCCATGGGGCGGCTTTCTCCACCTGGCGAGCCTATTATTGTCATGTGCATGCTGGATCATGACTGAAAGGCTTGCAGCTTAGATGCTTTTAGAATAAATAAAGTGGCAGTTTACATTTCTGGCAGCAGTTCAGGTTGCTGTTTCTGCCAAGCGGTTGTCTCCGTCATCAAACAGCTATTACCTGTAATAAGTAACCTGCACCAAAGTTTTACACTGAAGAAATTACCAAGGCATTGGAAGCATTTACTCTAAATTCTGGACTGTAAAAGAAGAGCAGGTGTGAGAATGTGAAGCCCATGCTGCCAAGAGAATGCTCCAAGAAGACCCTTCAGCCAAAACTCCAAGCAGTTTACAAACAAATTGAGAAGTCATGCAGCAGGACAGGAAAAGCTGAGAAGTAAGGAACCAAAATTTTTCCACTTCAGACTGCGGCTGGTTATGGAGTTAACAAACTAACAGGTGCCATGGACCAGTGAGATTTCCAAGAGCCTCAGATAAAGGCTGAGTCTCCAGAGATAATGCAAAGATTTTCAATGGTATCATCTCCTATTTGTAGATGTTTTTACATTTACATGACATAACAAAATGAGAGAGAGAGAGAGAGAGAGAGAGAGAGAGAGTTGGGTGTTAACCCACCCAGGTGTGCAAACAGCCCCAGGGCTGGCACCAGCCGGGGAGATTTATCTAATCTCATTTTCCATACCTTGTTTTAAAACCCAAAATACCATGATCAGAATTACATAGATGAAATGGGAGGAAGGGAAGCTGAAGAAAGAAGAGGCAAATAGAATACCTCCTATTGCTTCCATTTATCGTTTATCCAGGACTTGTTTACAGTCTTACTAATGAAGAATTTGCTCTTAAAAAAAATCTCTCCTCCATCAAATTGAACAAAAACAGTTGTGAAACCTTCCAAATTAAGAAACTGTACACACTGGCTCTTCCTGCAAAAGCCATTTGTTTGCCGTCAGGTCAGCTCTGCACAAGCCAGGACTGCTCGCAGGTTTGTCCTCCACCCCCATGGCCACCAGGAGAGAAAGCCCAACTGTAGCTCCCCACCCAACATCACCCATTCAGCTCAGAGTCATGTGTGCCAAAATAGACAGCTTTCATGTGAAATAATAACAGCGCAGGCACGCAAACGAAAAAGTGTCTGCCAGGCTCTTGGCAGAGTCCACCAGAAACCCCAGGAATTAAAAGTGCAATTGGGGCATTCAGGACACATGGTGCAATGCAACAGGCACCAACAGTAGTGCAGAGCATTGCCACAGAAAAAAAACAGAAAGGAAGGAAGGAGGGGGGGAAGGAAGGAAGTAGGGAGGAAGGGAGGGAGGGAGGGAGGGAGGAAACAAGACAGGTAAGAAAGGAAGGAGGGAGGGAGGGACCTCAGAGGCCCAGGAGCTAACATTCCTCTTACTGAGAAAGTCACCCGTTGAGAAGACAAACTGCAACCTGGCATTTTCAAGTAAATGACCACTTGCTCTGGCATGTGCAGTGCTACAAAGAAAAGCCACAGAAATGTACCAAGTAAATAACATTCCAGACATACTGCTGGCAGCACTTCACCCTTTTGGCTAAAACAAAACAGAAGTAACTTCAGGCCTTGTAAACAGGCTTGCAGACAAGCCTGCATCAGATGGGTCCGCTGGCCAGAGACACAGACAGTGCCCACGTAATTACAGAGACTGTATGGCTGACCCGTCCATTCAGCCTAGGAAGGTTACACAAGCTGATGACTGTGAAATCGCACCAAGGCTGTTCATGAAGAAAAAGCCTGCCCTGTCCACAGTGACCACTCGCTGCTGTTTTGTCGCAGTGTGGAAGCCTATCAGAGGCCCATTTATGCAAATATCGAAGTCTGCGAGGGCCTGAAGGAATGCACAAAAGCAGCCGTGTGGGGGTGGCATTTCGTCTCCCTGCCCTTTAATTTTCTCCTCCAATAGTCTTTGTGGTCTCCACCAGACCTCCTTCCCCACCGCCAGCACTTTGCACAATCCAGCCTGGCCTTGGTGCTGCTTGGTTGGGCTCAGGACAGATGCTGACACTGCTGGAATCCCACCTGAATTCCCCCTTCCCATCCTCAATCCTTTGTTCCTAGCCAGGATAAATGTATTTCTTACTGTCCTCTGAGAAAGACTGAAGCTTAAACATTCTCCTGGATCGGAAGGAAGGGCATTTCACTTCATATAAATGACTCTATGATCAATGGAAAACATGATCTTCTTCCTGAAAAGCAATTTTCCAGTTGAGAGCCAGACCCCAAACCCTCCTGCAATGGAGTGTGCCCTCTAAGGCTGGGGCTTACCGGCGGGGTACTCTGGGCTTATATTTCCCTATGAAGCAAATGGCTTCTTTCTTAAAACTAAATCAGAGAAACGGAGTGAAGTTTTGATAACATTTCTCAAGAGTTGTTAACAAAATTCTGACATAAAAGGACCAATAGAATTTTCTTTCAAGGAGAATTTCTTCCTCTCCTTTTGACCCTAAATGTCAGAATTTCTCAGGTTAAGTATAACTTTTAAACTGCTTTTTTTCAAAGTGAGTGAAGAAATTATAACGCTCTTAAGCTCACTTCAAGGAGTAATATTAAATAGTCCTTTACCAACAGATAATCTACTTCAAGCTACCTTCAAAACAGAATGAATGGAGCTGGCCCGGTGGCTCAAGCAGTTAAGTGTGCGTGCTCCACTTTGGCGGCCTGGGGTTCTCAGGTTCGGATCCCGGGCGCGCACGGATGCACTGCTTGTGACGCCATGCTGTGGCGGCATCCCATATCAAGTTGAGGAAGATGGGCACGGATGTTAGGTCAGGGCCAATCTTCCTCGGCAAAAAACAGAGGAGGATCAGCATCGGATGTTAGCTCAGGGCTGATTTTCCTCACAGGGAAAAAAAAAAAAACAGAATGAATGTCTAGAATTTTCTACTCCCCACTTAACCTTGATTTATAAGTTTCATTCCTGGGCTCCTCACACATTCCCTCGTCTCAGAATAGTAATCATGGTCCTAATCAGCCAGCAGGCCATCAGTCTTCACTCTGACAAGGCCCATTTGAAGATGGGTTTTCTTTTTTCTTCTTTTTCCCTGAAAAGGCCTGTGTCAACTGCCTCTACAAATGCCCAACTGTTGATTCATCATCATTACAGAGGACGGAAGATAATCACTTCAATGACATCTTCATCCTAAAAATGGTTCTTTTTTTTTTTTTTAAATCACAGAGTTTATCGTTTTCCCCAAATAAGAGATGTATGGGATAGTAATATTTGCAACTGTCAAAAAGCACAAGGCCTCTGGCTTATATTTTCCCCCATAAATTCTCTTTCGCTGTAAGTGGTCAAGGAGGACAGCAGGGCAGAGGAGGGGGGTGGGCAGAGCAACAGCAGGACATGTGTTCTCGTCGTTTCCCAGGAGACCACCCGCAGGCCTGCCTCCTGACAAAGGCCATGTGGTGCTGTATGTCTGCCGCCTTGCCACTCCGAGATTAAAAATATCATTTCTGGTCTGAAAACAGTTGCTCAAGACTGTTCCTAAAAGCTACCTCCCCATCCAGATTAGAAGGCTGTATCCATTAATTTAAAACATGCTCCTAGCAGGGGAGGAAGGAGTGCCTTCATTACTCTGAGGAACCGCTCCAATCCTTTGGGAGGAATTCAATTTGGAGCGGAAATGGAGAATTTCATCAGATCTTAAGTAGGGGCTGGTGTGTGATTTATTTCTGCTCTGTCCAGGGAGACGTGACCAGCGTGGCCCATCTTGCTGCCCAGGGAGAGGTACAGCACTTATCGGCTCTGGCTCCGTGCTGCTGCCTCAGCAGGTCAGAGCAGGCTGCGGGTAGGATCAAGAGGACGGGAAATTGCTTTTGGTTAAGGACGAGAAGAGCCCCAGGCCACCCCTCCCCTTGTACTGGAGCACATCCCAATTCCCCCGAGGGGGAGCAGATTCACTTTTCATACAGATCCTTGGGAGGTGTGTCCAGGAAACAGACATGATATATTTATCAAGCTTGAACTTACGGGTTCAAAGTTTTCACAATCTCAATAACATTTGGAGCCCAGTGTCCATTACAGAGAGGAAGGAGGAACCAAGAAAAAGGGAAACTGAGGCTCCTTTCCCTCCAAAGTCAAACTGGATAGTTCTAAGGGTCTCATAATCACACGAAAGCAACTTTTGCTTGCATGACTTAATTACTTGCTAAAATTTGGACAACTGAAAAGGAGACTCATAGTAGCCTGGGGCTATCTGAAAGGAAGGACAAATCATAGTTATCCCTCTCTTAGCTTCAGAACATGTTTTCTCTTTCCTTCACAAGGTGTGATGTGATATATGCCAGCAATTCCACCAGTGCATTTATAAATCAAATGCTCAGCTCCCGCTTCTTCATCTCTGCGATGGAACCCCTTAGTCTCTCTCTCGTGGTTGCAGTCCAATGTAGGCGATGCATCTGTTGTCTCAAAGGCAAAGGGGTGGCCCAGATGACCTGAAGGGCCCCTGCTCCCCTCTGGCTCTGAGACTGCTCACTAAGGACTAGTCACCTTCCATTTTCCTCATTGGGCATCCCGCCATGCCACATAGTGTAGTCTTTAAACTGAAGCCTTAGGAGATGAGGGAATGTTCTTTCAGGGATATGGTGAAGCCAGGTACCTGTGAATTACTGTCAACATTCAATAAGAATAGGATTGGGGCCGGCCTGGTGGTGTAGCGGTTAAGTGTGCATACTCCGCCTCGGTGGCCCGGGGTTCGCAGGTTTGGATCCCAGGCGCGCACCGAGTCACTGCTTGTCAGGCCATGCTGTGATAGCGTCCCATATAAAGTAGAGGAAGATGGGCACGGATGTTAGCCCAGGGCTAATCTTCCTCAGAAAAAAAAAAAAAAAAAAAGAATAGGATTACCTTTTGACCTTGTTCCCAAAACACAAATAGATAAAAATAAGTTAATCTTGTTAATTT